ATTGAGCATCAAGTAAATCACTTATGCCAAATTTTTCCAATTTCTGCTCACTTTTAGTAATTCTCATGTGGAGGTAAATGGTTTTGAACCATAGGCACTCCGAAATTTGCAAATCATTGGCATTGGCAAAGTCGCACTGTCACCTGCATAATGCTGTTGGCAACAGCAGGCACAATCTCGCACTCCAATTAATTAACGCAACGATGCCACGATGAATTTCGTGGGTTTATCTGATGTTACTGTCAGACAAGTGAGATAAGTCACAACAAAAACAGTTTTGAGAGTTTTTGCTCATGGCAAATAGGATAAAGCAGAATGCCAAGTTTACGCATAAGAGCACTGCGCACTACACGTGTAAAGGCCAAAATCTGTGCCTGATAGCAATGTTCATAAAAAAAATTTACTTTTATTACTTAATTTCTAAATTTTATGTAACAATTGATTTATTTCAGTTGCGGGTAGAATAGAATTAATTTTTGGAATAATTCGTTTAATTGCAATAGTAAATTATTATTTACTGTAATCAGTTATTTCTAATTTCTGTGATTTCTCTTTAAATTATTTATCTTAAATTATCTATTATTATTATTTATTTATTATTTATTATCTATAAATTAAAATTTTTGTAAATTATCTTATGCTGTATATTTGAGTAAGAAGAGTTAGATGATCTTAATCAGATGAAAAAAATAAGGTTTTAAAATTATGAATTTTCTGGGAAAAAAAATTATTATCTTTCTTCAGTCATGAACAACCGTAGAATAGTACAAAAGATCTAAACTGTTTAAATTTTCTACCTGTTTTTTTTAATGGAAATAATTTGTTTTCATGCCCTCGCTTCTATATAGAAAGATTCATTCTAAACTTCATTCAGGAACAAATTATAGGAATAAACCCTATTTTTTTCTAGTTCTCAAATGGCTCATTGTTTATGAACATGTTTTAATAAAAATAATACCATTTGTATAGCGCTTAATAATATTTTCATTTCTTTCACATGAACATTAGAAAACATTTTGATATTACGGAATGACTCTGGTCATTTCACTTTTCAGCAAACAACTATAATTGGAAGCAAATACTGTCGTTGATGCTGTGTTTGTTTTGTCCATGTACTTCATGGAAGAATGGCTGCCGAAGCCTCAAGGAGGTTGGGCTTCTACTTCCACCCCAATTTTGAGGGAGAGCACCCCGGGAAGCGTAATGGCAGACCGCACATTGAGTTGAACAGTGTTAAACGAATGTCGCATACTGCGCATGCCCAGAAAACAATAGGCATAATTACTATGTTGGCGCGATTTGAAAAGTAGATAAATACGGTATATGGTAGATGTACCGCCATCTGATTGTAAACAAATCTGGCGTTTAAATCTTGTATAATCTTGTATAGAGTATAATGTAAATGTAAATTAATTACTGTGTTAAAATACTATTTTTTGCTGTACTGCTCAAACAACTAGAAAGCTGAAATTATTGCGAAGTAATGTGAAGCAGTGTTTGCATTCAAAATGTAAAATATAATACCTATGAAATTCTGCACATTCCTTTGGAACTGTACAAATTTTCGTTCAGAAAAAGACTGAAATTTAGGATATATTAGTTGAAAATTTATTCATTATACTTTTAAGCAATAAAAACAATTCAGGATTTACCATACGTTCCATTCGTACATACATAAAGAAACACTGAGGAATATAACAAGTGCTTGCAAATAACACTGAAGAAATTTTACAATTCCTTAATGCTAGTTATTAAATTCTTTGAAATGAGAAAATAAAAGCGCGAATATACGCTAACAAACTAAGCGAGATACTCCAGTTTACAATTATTGAATTATAACATGTAAACAAATTACATTTAAATAACGAATTATTACGAACATATGTTAACAAATATTAAATGCACTGTTATTGACAAATTACAGTGAAATATATATTAGAAAAATAAGCAAATTCAATCGGTATGGACGTTAAAATAACTAATAAGCAAAGTTCCACAACATTACAGTTGTAAACATCATTCAAACACACTCGACAGCCATGGTGATCACGAATAAGCTAGCGTAGGGTTGCTTAGTCGCCAATATTTCTCCCCGCGCCGAAAGGTACACCATCAAGCATGCGCAGTAAGCGAAATTTGCTTAACATTGTTCAACTCAATGTGCGGTCTGCCATTACGCCCCCGGGAAGTATTCTGAGGATTTCCCATCCCTCTTCCCTACAACTAAGCCACACGAAAAACTTTCGACTCGCCATGTATTTAGAGCGTCACCATGCCGCAAAGACACTATAAATTTACAAACATCCATGCCTTCTCTAAGGGGGGGGGGATGGTACCGCAGTAGGCTCCTCTAATCATTGTACCGTCTGGGCGGCTAGCAAATACTGTGTTCTTTAATTTTATTTCTACCAAATTTTATGATTATCCTTTAAATATCACAAACCTGCTAAAGCATAACTGCAAATACAGGAAGTCTAGAAGTTAATATTATGGAAATTATACGTCAGAAACTTTTCAGAAGTACCTTTAAGCGAAATTACGGAGGTAGGTCTCAACAAATTGCAAGTGTTATACATGGCTTAACTTGCAATACTAAACAAAATAAAGTTAATGGTGAATTTAGTAAGAGAAGCATCTAAAGCCTATTAATTTTTCATTTAGAAAGCGTCTGGGTCATCTGTTAGGATTTATTTTTGCTTCCTAAATTTAAGTAAACAACAGTCTTTATTAGTTTTATAATATGGCATGACAACCGCCAGCGCGTATTTTATGATGTGCGATAGCTTTTCCGAAGTATTTTCTTAAATTGAGGTCACTGTAAATTTAGTCTCAGATGATATCGACTCTCTAACTATTTCAGTAGAAAATTTATATATAATATTTTCTTTTGTATTTGCAAACTTTGAAAAGTTGAGATTTTGTTGTCGCATATACAGTCCATTAGAAATAAGGAATATGATGCTATTGGGGAAATTTGCGACTTTTTGTAAAAGAAGAATTGACAGTAAAGGATAGCAAACAGTTTTAATAAGTCTTACTTTGAATTAAACTCTGTTTCCATTACTATATACTTTGAACTGAATCACCATCTCGTTAATTTAAACCTAAAACAGTTTTTATTTCTCGATCATCAAGTTATTGATGACCCCTTACTGGGGTAGGTCAGTATAACCTCAATTTACTTTTAAAAAAATGATAGTAGAAAGCCAAAATAATTGTTTGCTAATTCTAAGTTTATAATTTTTTGTACAAATGAATTCATTAGACGCACACGCTAATGAAGAATGGATGGACCATTAAGTCTTATCTGAATACTGCAAAGCGTACGAGAGTGACTAAGACAGCCGAATACAGGAAGTTCAAATCCCAGCCTATAGGCTAGCCTATGGGCTGACTTCGTGGTCTTCCATGTGTGCAATTAAATACAAATCAGTTTCCCTTAGAAAATCGCTCACGAAGGTATCCTACTGGTTAATCAGATATCTTTCGCATGTTTTGCAGTATTCAAGTAACAAAAAGAGCTCTTGTGTGAAAAGAATAATTTCAAGTAGATGAAGGTCTTTCCAAAAGAGAACAAGCCAAAAAAAAACAGACAGAATTTTAGTTTTCGTAACATTTTCATTTTGCTTTTGGCAATAAAAAAGGCACTGAAAAAGAAAAAATGCTAATTGTAACTGAATTTGGGCATAAATGCATAAGGAAACAGGAAGAGTATTTCTTATCTGAAGTAAAAATGGCTGTTATGTACATATCTAAATATTGCTGATTTTAGTTCCCGCTTACAAGGGCAATTTTGCTTACAAGAAAGCAGACTTTACGGAATAATGTTTAATTGAATCACCTGAGGTGAGATTTCGTGCGTGACACTGTGACACCAGTGAGCCGAATATCATCGGTTGAAATAATATCTGGGTCACTAAGCATGAAACAATTGCCGTTTCCTTTACAGTGCACTTAATGAAAAGCTTACCCATATATGCGTCATACCTATATTGGGGAATATGAAAGCTTAAATGTCTACGAAAACTAGGATGCTTTCATATTCATGCATCTGTCTACTCTTATGGCCAAACTATGAATATTATGATAATGAACATGTTTCTGATATTAACACTTCTAAATAGCAGATACAAACTGATTCAACTTCTAACATTCTTGTGCAAAGGTACACTGGTGATAAACAAGATTCCTTCAATTTAATGAATAATTCCGTCGCAAAGTTCTGGGGGATTTTATGCAATATATCTCAGATATTAAATACTACAATCAAACTCCACTAAAATGTCGAGAGAGCAGTTAATAATTTTTAATTAAAAATTGAAACGAAAATATTTTATATTACAAAGAAAAATTTCTTTACGCTTTCAAAATTGCTACGAAAAATCGAAAATCGATTCTGAATTAAAACAATAATACTGTCAATCTAACAAGAAGTGTAAGAAGAAAATGGTATTTTCAGTTGTCTTACGTATTTAAACGAACAGCATGTTAAAAATGGTAAACAATTTTAGAATTCAAGTTAAACGGGAGACATAGCAAAGTGTAATATCAAAATTAAAGATGGGAAGATTTTGGCCTGTGGGTTATCAGATAAACCAGCCCATTAACTGTCAGCTACAAACCTGTAGTGGCGTATTTTTCAGTCAATCGTAAACTGTCTATCTTTTATATTATTAAATTATTATAAAATCCACAAATGACAACGGAAATAGAAACACAAATTACGTACCGTAACATAAACAGCGGTACAGCTTGAACAGCAGAAAGAAATATGGGAAAACAAATAGGACCTTAGCAAATAAGAATTTAAAAATTTTATATGTTATCTTACATTATAAATATATAACAATATTTATCTGAACAGATAGCTAGCGCACTTTATTTGCTTAAAACCCATTTATATTTCCCAAAAAAGTACTGAAGCTTACATACATCATAAATGTAAAGGCATTTAAAATTTCTGCTAAACAAAATGAAACAAAATAAAATATCTTACTTACTTTAATTTTACCTTTTCTTGAATCTTGGTTTCTCCTTCAAGCAATAAATCTAACACTATTTCCACTGATTCATACGTCATTTGCTCTGAGAGCAATTCAAAGAACACAATAATTTGATACTGATGCACTACAAAGAGTAGAACAGTATTAAAGTCAAATATAGGAATAAACTCATTGAGATTATCATAAATTTCATATTATTCCATAGAAATATGTTAAAAATTAAAATGCTTTCAATTAAAATTTAATAATATATAAGTATAGCTGACGTACATAACAGTTATAATGTAAAGAAATACCTATGACATTTAAAGTACTATAATGTTTTTTCTCCCGCTTTTCAGCATGCGCCTTCGTGGTGTAACGATAGCAGTCCAGGTTCGAGTTTTGGGGAGGGAATTGCTCATTTTTCATGCTTTCTGCTTCAAAATAGCCTAAATGCCACTACAATACGTACCGTATATTCCGGCGTTTAACGCGCACTTTTAATGCATAACAAGATCGAAATTTACGGGTAGTGAACAATACGTCGGATATGAATATATTATATACAAAAATCAGGAAAAATTGAGCATACAAAAATTAAATTTCTACATGTACCTAAATGCTATTTATTTTTAAAAAGTGACATACGTTATGAACCTAAAAGTTTTTATTATCGGATAACATGAAAGGTTTGTCATATTCGTCTTCCGTTATATCTTCAGGCGAATCAACGAGATCTGTTTCATTTTTACCATCACTGTTACTCTCATCCATATATAAATAATCATTTTCCGTTCCATCTTTTTTTTTTTTTTTTTTGAAAGTTAGCTATGCTAGATTTTTAAATGTCTTTTGAATTATGTCGGGTTTAATTATTTTATTCCATGCTTTTATTATCTACTTATGCACTATTTTTAAACTAGCATCACGCATTTGGCATCCTTTTGTAAATGTTTTCTCACCTTTTAACATCCACGCATTCTACTCTTGTTTGAACGTTTCTTTGAGTCGTTTATTGATACACACATCTAAAGACTAAACTGATGGCGTTAATCCACCTGGGAATAACTGTCATGTATGTCGCTTTCAACAGTTCCTTCGTATATCCGTTATATGGGATTTGAATATGCGACAAACTTAGACTTTCTGGATCCTTTAAGGCAACAGGACGCTTTTGCCAAATATTTCTTATCCACAATTTCACGCCGTTTCCGTCCATCCATCCTTTCTCGTGAACATAATCGAAAACGCCATTTGGAAAATAATTTTTCGGCATCGCTCTTCTTTTAAAAATAACCATGGGTTATAATTTTGTACCGTCCGCTAAGAAAAAAAAAGCACTACCGTGAAATGAGATTTTTTTTGTGGCCCAAATCTTTCGGAGGCCTTTGCGAAACTTTAGAACTAAATTATTCGATGCCATAAATTAACTACACCGAGTGAAAGTGCATTTAAGTTTTCGCTTTCATTTATATTATTTTTTGCCCACTGTAATGTAAATAAACGCACTTTGTTTCTTGTTACAATTAATCCATTCTGGCTATTCTGACTCTGTTTGCAACACTTTCTTCAAGGATAGACTATTTCGTTACTCCTTTATGCAAAACACATTTGTTCTTTGGCATATTAATTACATTTCATTTTTCTTCCACTATTTATGGAGCTTTCACCAACGCCAAACATCCTTGTCGCAGCACGATTTACATTTTCTTTTGCAAAATGAATGATTTTGCGTTCGAAATCAGCACTGTGTTTGTTTCATTTGGCAGGGACAATATTTACTACTGAAAGGAAAACTAGATCAATTGCATTTCAATAAAAGCAAATGCGATTTATTAAAGCCTTAGATATTCACTTCAGAATCACGGCTTCAAATGACTACAGAAAGCAAAAACATCTGACTTCTAATTTCGCGAATTCACTCAGGTCAAAAGTGCATTCTTTTTCAGAATAATGTCCCCTTTTCTCGAAACCCTCGAATAGCATTCTTGTGTATAGCTACATTGAATACAGCACACCCTCTTTGCAAATTTATTTTCATTACCTCAAGCATTTCCCTGCACACGTTTTGTTCCCTTTATCGACAGTCAAATCAGAATACTATAGTACGAAACCTGGAGAAAATCTTCAAATGAATGTTTTCAGAAGTAAAGAGCACTGCACTTGTATCTTTCGAGTTTCTTCATGAAGAAAAATGTACTCGTTATACGGCGAATACACCTAAAAATTAAAAATTGCGGTTTGTAATTATAGGTGTGCGTTAATATAAGGTAAGTTGTTAATTTGCTCGTAAATAAATATCTCTCTCTTTTACATTTTTGACATCAGATTCAACAGTGACAACTTAAACTAAAAAGACACATTAAAGACCTTTTTGATAAAAAAAAGTAATTATATGTAAGAGCAATCGATGTAGCATGACTGAATTTGCAAGATTACTTTCTGAAGGTTAAATAGAAACTTTCATTTTAACTGCGAGCTTTTAACCTAATAAAAATAATTTGGTAAAAACAACAATTAGTAGATGAAATCTTTTCTAACCTGTTTTGATTCAACATAGTAATAAGGAGGAAGAAGGCTAGCTAGCTATCAACACTTTGAGCCATTGGCTTGCTGAAGTCATTCTCAACGCATATGTTGGAAGAACTTCTAAATGATGATACGATTCGAACAGCACTAGGAGCTCCTTCCTGCTTATAATTTTTTTCAATGGCAGATTGTAAACAGTTACAGTGTAACACAGTACATTAATCTATACAATGCCAGATGTGGTGGCCTCTTTATTATGGAGGTTGCGTTAATGTTGCCTGATATTTCTTGACAAGCGGAACTAACTAACGAGCAAATTCTAGAGATTTTATGTCCTTCTGTTAAATTCGTTATTATTTTGTGATTAGTTTCAAAATTCAATTTATTTGATTGAATATGTGTTTAGACTGCTAACAAAAGCTTCTTACTTTTGCTCTTTGGTGTTTTTAAACTTAATATTATTTAACAAATATTTAAACTAATACAGTATTTATTAGTTTTAGCTCCCATTCAGACTCAAATAGTAATTGTTAATTTAGTGACTTAATGATCACGGCTAGGCTCAGTTTCATCACAAAAAGAATATGCATATCAGTAGACATGATCGTACATAGACTCACAAACGTACATAGAAATTTGCATAGTTACAACTATTCGGTTTCACTACTAGTTAAACATTTACAAATATCCAGTGGCGTAGCTAAGGGGAAAGTCTGTCCTCGGGCGCAGCATCCAAAGGGCGCCATTGATGTTACAAAATATTAGAATGAAATGTTTTCCATTCTTGGTACACAGAAAAGGGGCGCGAAATTTTCATTTTCCCCGGGTCCTGAAACTCCTAGCTACAGCTCTCCAAGTATCAGTTCAAATTTAAACACAGATAAGTACATATTTCAGTTGATGGCTACAGACTGGAGGCATGCAGATGTTTCCTGCTAAACTTACGAAATGAAATTAATGAGCGAGGCAGCACAAATTGTTTGTTCTTTTAAGTGTGTTATTTCATGTCCTCCGAGATCTAATATACAAACTAGTACATTAGTAAGCAAATTTCCAGACATTTTCCCCTTCCTTTAAGAATGCCTTTGTAGTCTAATTGGAAGTATACTCGACGCCCGTTCGAGAGATCCAATTCTGGCTAGAGTACTGCACATTTTTCATGTCTCCTTCTTCAAAAAACAAAAAAAAAAAAAAAAAAAAAAAAAAAAAAAAAAATCTGATTAATAGACACACTTTTTTTTTTTTTTTTTTTTTTTTTTTTTTGAAAGTAGCCAAGGTGAAAAATGAGCAATCGCCGGGAATCGAACCACGGATCTCTGGAACACCGGCCCAGCGTGCAGAACCACTACACCATGAAGGCATGTTAGGAAGGCGGGAAAAATATCTTACATGCTCCCCCTTTTAAAGGGCGACTGGGGTTTTTTAGGGGACCCAATCACCAAATCCTGGGTGTGGAGATTCATCATGCACTGCTCTTTTAGTTCGGGCATCACTGTAGAGACATTAGGTATTTTTTGGAAGCAGGCAAGATTAAAAATTAGCAACCGCCTTCTCCGGGAATCGAACCACGAACCTCTGGAATACCGGCCCAGAGTGCAGAACAACAACACTCCTAAGGGAATCTAGAAAGGCGGAAGAAATACCTTACAACTGCACAAAATCGAAAATATATTTTGGCCCTGGGAGACAGATAAGTACCCGACATGACTGCTAATGAGATTATTAAGTTTTCCTTTCACTGTCATGTAGGATTGACAGCCAGCCAGCCATGTCATGTGGGATTGCCTCTCGGAAATGATTTCTCTGGTACCAATTATAAGAACGAGTCGCACAGGCGGTTTAGTGGTTAGCGAAGTCTGACTGCGATGGTTCGAATCCCGGAGAAAGCATGGTTGTAACCCTTCATAGAAGGCGATGGTAGCCCACCTATTAGGTACCTCCATAATAAAGAGGCCACCACATCTGGCATTGTATAGATTAATGTACTGTGTTACACTGTAACTGTTTACAATCTGCCATTGAAAAAAATTATAAGCAGGAAGGAGCTCCTAATGCTGTTAGTTAAAACTTATTATTTTTAATGGTAGAACTTTCTTGAAAAGTTAGTGGACGAAAGGATATATTGTCTCTGCTTTTTTTTTTTTTTTTTTTTTTTTTTTTTTTTTTTTTCCATGATTTATCAGCAATGTCATTTTCTCTAAAATCTTTGTGGGAGACAGAAACCACCGGCAGAAGAGTTTACAGATTTTTTCCAAAAGTCTGCCGGCTTCTAAAATCTGGCTCGTCTCACTTCACTCAGTATCTAACAGGACATGGTCCCTTCATGACTTACCTGCATCGCTTTCAGACGACGCGAAAACGAGCATTGCTCATGCGGGATGGTAGGAGATCCGGACCACTATCTGTTCGCTTGCAGAGAGACCGCTAAATCATCTTAGGCAACCAGTAGCAAACCACATCCATGCATGGGCCGAAGCTACTTCAAAAAATCGCAATGCATTGAAACGCATATGCGATTGCATAAACATTGCACGCATAATCTCAGACAGGCTGGAGTAATTCTCAGCCACCATCCTCGTCACCAGCACAGCCCCTGTATGCTCTGTACCTGTAGCGAAATTAATTTTATCTTAAGTTTAGCTTATTCGGATTTTCTTATTCCCTGTATATATTTATCTTCTTGAACTGTAAACCTTGAATTATGAACCTTGAATATGTATTTTGCCTTATTTTATGTATTGTTTCCACTGTTTTGCCCTTTTTTTTTTTTATTTTATGCATTGTTTTACTTTCTAGTATTTTACTTCTTATTACTTTTAGTATTTGTAACCACCTATCCATTACTCTGTAAATATGTAACTGGAATTGTTCTTCACGCCCGCAACGCACCCTTCTTCCATCATGCGCTATCGTCTTCGTCCAGCATTTGTTTGCACTGCCCCCAGTCGTCTTGAGCACAAATATGTATTTATAAGTGTGTCTTTTGTTCAAGTTATTTCCGTCAGCGGGGCTACCTGGCCGATATGCTAACTACCCAGTGGACCGGCTGCCTCGCTGTCGGTGGAAAGAAAGAAAGAGCTGGTGGAGTAGTTTCTGTTCGAAATGTGCTGGCGCACCCTTAAAGTAGAAGAATGACTTTGTCCAATCTTTGTCAGTTTGAAGTGGGTATAGTGGAATGGCTTTCATGCCTAGTATGGCCCTATAAAAAGAATAATTTCTTGGTATATTTCGTTCTCGTTAAAATACCATATTACCTTCACGGCGAACCACCTAGCAAATCTTAAAGAAAATATAAAATTATTCTCCCAAGTAAAACAGCTTCAGACCATTATTTGTAAATTTTCTTCTGAAGTACAGTTTCCTAATCAGCGCATAAAGCTGCATATTAATTCAGGTTGAAATTTAAACATAATGTTTTTGGACATTAAAAAACCATAAAACACAATGAAACTAAAAAAAATTGAAATTACTTACAACAATAAGGTCTTTCAAATCCAGTCCTGAGATAATACCTTGTTTTATGTGGCGCAGGAGTGCTAAAGACCCCCATGAAACGGCATCGTTCTCCTCTACTCCCGCAATTACACTGACCTTCTAGAAACGAATCCCAGCTGCGGCATTCAACGCCAACAAAGTAACATCCATTCTGGCCAAAGGAAAAGATCATGAACTCAGTGGCTCTAAAATGGCGGCAATACGGTAGGTTTTCTATAACTATAAACAACAAAATGATTAGCTGATTACTTGGAAAGGTAACGATTACATTTCACTCAGTTAGGAAAACTGGTATATATATATATAGTATATATATATATATAATATATAATATACCAGTATATATATTATATATATATATATATAGAATAAAAGATAAAAGGTATATATATATATAGAATAAAAGAACTATATCCAGTATCAGAATTATATATCAGAATTAATATCCAGTAATTTTTCCTAACAATTTGTGATGTTTGGAAATTTCACTTTAATTTAGAACAGCAGTTTTCAAACCGTTTTCGTTAAATCCTGTGGATTTGTGTTATGCCTCTAAGAATTGCAAAATACAAATTCAAAATTGGGAAGCATTTGTTTATATCAAACAGATACCAAAACTAGATAACTAAATAGTTATTTAATTTTATTTCTGGGAGTATTGTTTTCTAAAATAATATGAAATTTATGCATGTTTAAAATTACCATTACATCAAAATAAAAATTATATCTTCATTTAAGTAGTAAAGTATCACATATAAGAGGCCTGTAAATGATGATGTAATTTTAATGCTTTTTTAATGTTCGCTTTTCTGAGGCTGGGAGATTCATCGCAAAATATTGTAGACTTATTTGTAAATTTTTATTGCATTTTTTGATACTGTTTTATTTCAATACTTTTTCTTTCATATTATTTTATTATTTTATTAGTTTATTTAGTTATTTTTATTATTTAGTTATTCATTCATATTATTTTATTTAGTTATTTATTTAACTGTATCTTTTAGTGTGATATCTTTAGGGTTTATTTTGTGTGTAAATGAGTTTTTTATTCCACGAACACAACTGTAGATCTTTCAGTTCTGAGTGCAACAATGTTTAAACTAAAAAATAGCTGAATAAAGGAAAAATAAACGTATAGAAAAATAGATCTCTAAAAAATAGACTCTGAAAAAATGGCCGTGATGTGATTTGGAGACATTTCGCGAGTTCTCGCTAATTTGCCAACTTTCTGGAAGATTCGAGAACATATATTTTCAAAGCCTTATGACCGATTTTCCCCGAAGCTTCCAGAAACCCGTGCAATACCACATAAATATGGCTCCAAGAACTAGCACGAGTTATTTGTTAATTAGCTTTGAGCTGCATTTCAGAGTTTAGGCTATAAATGATTTTGAGAATTTATCATATTTCTCGATTTTCGTAATTTACGATTTTTCTCGAGGGTTTACTTAATTACCGTGGTTTTCTTGAACTATTTACGAACCTTTATTTTGCAGCGTGTTATTGTAAATTATAATAAAGTATCAATTACTTTCTGCTCATTCGAAGTGATTATTCCAAGAGACGACCACGAGCCGACAGTTCGCAACAATATTGAGAATACTTTAAGTAAAAGCAGTTTAAATAATTTCTCAATTTTTCAATTTTATGCGAAATACCACGAGGTTATAAAATCAAAATTGTCAATGGTAAATTGACACCAGCTGAATTTAATTATTCCTGTTATAAGACATATATCTATCATCACGTCGTTTGTTTATTGAAATTTTCTGTTGTATGTGAGGTTCAACGATTTTGTTTTTAATCGCATATGCACAACAGCAATATGATAGCTAATTTGGTTGTTAGATTTTTAGGGAATTTAATTGGAAACTGCAAATTAAATCTTTTTAAGCGTTTTATTTTATACTTCCCTTCTATAAAATACGAAAACGTAATAAAAAAAGTAGATCGAACATAGGAAATCTCTTTACGTTTCCTTTTATTTGAAGCAGCAACAAAAGTATGTTTAACATTTTTCCCTCCAATACCTTCAGGTTTATCTGATGGTATTATATTCGCATTCATTTCAGGTTAAACTTTCATTTCCTTTACAAATCTTATCGCGTCATCGCCACAAAACACTGAGCTGTTAACAAAGATTTTTTTTAATTCTGTAAATAAAGTTAAAAATTCGGGGAAAAAATGTAAATTCGGAAATTATGTTTTTATTTGTCCTCTGAATAAAACAAAATTTTGTATAATATTGTATTTTCATCGGAAATACGTACGTGTAAAGAATTTTAAGAACGTTGTGTCTATAGAAAGGAGTACAAAATTAATTTCAGGAATTAATTTGAAGTTTGGTTCAGACTAACAAATAGATAAAGTAGTTTAATTAAACCTTATCAAAATTAATTTGCCTTTTTCTAAATACTATATCGGAGATATATAAAATAAAATTATCTTCCCTTTTTATTTTCATAAATATTTTTACGTGACTATTAGAAAGTTTATATCTGCGTATGTGACTGACGTAATATTTACATTCGACAATATTGCTTCGAAGTAATTAATACCTTTCAGTAGCTATTTATTTCATAGAATTAAAACGAGCATAAAACTAGACAGTACAAAAGTTTCAAATTTTGTTATATCCAACTTCTTAATTTCGTATTAAAATGGTAGAGGTACGAGGAGCAACTTTATATTATTTACTAGTTATCCTCACACTAAAAGTAAACACTTTTACTAAAAGTCATAATAAATGCAATATAAATTATACTTCATCGCAGGATAGTTGTATTGACGCTGTTATCCAAAACTTCGGAGAGTTTCAGTTAGGCAGTAAATTAAGAAATTTTTATTACTTACATTAATGCGGTAACAAAATACATTACATGTTTATAATCATCAATGTGACAGAAAAAATACTTACAGTCAGGAATTATTCTGCCTGTTAAAACTATTCTCAATAGTGTAAGTGAGCAGCCTCTAGAATGGGCGTTGTCCGGCCAAAAGTCAACATGTCCAGTATCTTCAAACGTTCCCAAGCCTAGGAGTAGATAATTTAAAAGTTTCACAAAGAAAATTCTGCATGAAATTATTTTGTACGTAAGATGATTGAAAACTTTTGCTCTTTGTTCTCTTATTCAGGATCAGAAGACGCTGCCGTCAGGTTGTTTTTTCCAGTCTGTGGCTTTTACGGTGAAATATACCTTTTATAAAGTTTTGTAAATGACTCATAAACAAAACATGAAATAGACTGCTTTATAACAGCATCGTTAACACTACCGGGCGAAGCATTTTTCACTTCTTCAACTGACGAAAACCTCTTGACCTCAGTAATTTTCATAAATGACGTATTATTAAACCTGGGCTACATGCAGGATATTCTAAAGCTGACAGATCAATTTTAGAAAGCGCTTCCAATGCAACAGCAGAAACATGCCCCCGTGCTTTGTCCTGCAGCAAATCCTCTTTCCCCAGTAAATCCAGCCCTTCCTCGTGGCTCCACGTAAATGGTTTTTGAGACTTTTATCCAATACTCACCGTTTGCCTGAATGCGCAATTTTGATTCATGCGAGTACAGTGCATAACCTACAAGAACGTGTTTTGTCGATCGCTCATGTGTTACCCGCCAAGAAGTACCTCAAGCACTGAAGCGCTGAAAAATCATCTCTAGCATATCTCCTAGATCTATGCATTATCTTACAGTGTTTCTGTAAATAGAATGAAGAATAATTTTGTAAGATCACGAATTCTGCTTTCGAATAACTGTAAGAGTCATCCAACTATGCAATAATAAACCTTCACAAGCATTAGTCTTCTGAAATACATGTATACATGATGTATTTCATTTGTGTAATTTTATGTTTCTTTTCCACAAAACTGTTTAGAGATTATCATTTTATTTTTAACTAAGATGGTTACAACTTTCCTAGAAAATTATCCACAAAACTATTTTTCTCCTTAGCAGATAGCCCATGAGATCTTTAGCAGATAGCCCATGAGATCCTTAGCAGATAGCCCATGAGAACTTTGCCTAAGTCGGTTAAAACCCAATTAACTCTTGCTTTCATTTATATACGTATAGATATTTACAATTATAAATCCATCTGTGTGCGTTTTGCTTTTTACTGGGATAAAAATGTCACAAAACAGCTATTGTGATAATCTGAAATATCTATTTGGTTTTTATCTTAATAATTTTAAGCATTTCAGTAATATTTTTATGATGCAAATCATTGATTTTTCAGTTCAACTTAACCACTTTTACAAGATTTTAAGCCATTATCAGAATAATCAAAATTGTGATATCATTTTATTATTGTTTTTATGCACCAGATATATAGGAAGTAATAAAATCTAAGGTAAAAACATCATACGCATATCTGTTGTAGCTACATTTTTTAACTGAAATGGATTGTAAAGTATTTGTAAAGTATTACGCAGAGAAATTACTATTCAATAATTACTGTTTGAAAGAATACAAAAAATAATAGTTAGGTTTTTTTATTATCATAATTGCTAGATTAGTTATCAAAATGCATGTATGTGAGCTTTCTAAAACCTTAATATTTAGCAACTTCAAAAATTGGACAAATTCTCAACATTTCTCACCAAATGTGAGAAATTTCAAAATACGAAATACTTAATAAAATAAAATACAAAATGCGTCCAACTCAGTTATAAACATTAACTAACTATAAATGGTTTTGTATATCAAATGTGCTTCGTTAAACAAAATAAAGGCATTATACAAATACCTAAAAAACAAATACATCAAATATTTAAACAACTTATCATTACTGTGTTCTTTTTATATTCAGTAAGTAACGTGAGACTTCTTTAATATTTCATCATCTTTCCACAAGTTTAAATAATAATTTCAGCTAAGGAATAAGATCTGAATCGTTTATCTTAACTGATAAAAATTGCTCAAGAAAATTTTGTTATCACGCAGTTAGTTTTAGAATATAAACAATTGCACGCAACTAAAGATGGATAAATCATCCAGATAATTCAATTTACAAAATTTAGAAACACATGTGTACATTTGATGTATACAAGGATTAAAGGCTACTTGTACGCTAATTATTTCCACTTCAAGAATTTAACAATTAACAGCCTTTTGTTGACCAACAATTTTACGGATAACGTAAATACAAAATATTAAATTTATATATATTAAATACTTATAATAAAAATCATGGTTTTAAAAGATAAAATTTTAATAAAGATAAAATGCATCTACTACACTGCAAAGTTTATATTCATTTCGTAAATTAAAGTCATATTACTTGCTTATATTTCGAGCTTACATTAATATTATCGTATGTGTATAACGTATGTATTAATATTATCGTATTATTAATGTAATAAAGCTCTATAGATGTTACATGCATGAATTAACCTAAACATCAAAAATTAAAAAGCTTTGTTGCATGAAATTTCTCCAGCAAATCAACATTTCCTTCAAACGGCATGATTCTTCCGTGCTTCTTCGAAGTAATGCTACTGTAGGTTAGGCTAAGTTATTTGAATATGCCATAGCACGCGATGGGTATATGTCAAGGGGAAAGAATGCTTTAGTGGAAGGCGTTTCGAAGGTAACTAGGTCTTATTCATATTACTCAAGGTGAAAGCCATGAAACTTAACCATATAACCTGGCACGGAATCCATATCGAACTCCCAATACTTAGCGTTTTTAACCACTCGGCCACTGGTGGAGTGCACTTCGATCGAAAATTATTGTGTTAAATAAGATTTGGTACCTTATTTAATAGTTTGCAGTAATGCACTAAACAGGGCTAAAGCTCTCCGAGACCTCCAGATCAGACTTTAGCGCGATGGCAGAGATCACTGGTTTGTGGTAGTTTAATTTGACTAAGCACACAAGGGCTATCTGCCTAAAAGGATGCATGCCTGTTTAAGCTAATCTATGCATAGTTACATTACATATGTCAGAATTTACTGAATTAATAAATTTTTCAAACAGAAATGACCAGCATCGTGCGGCGCGTTCTATTTATTACCTAATCCCAAATTTTAGAGACTTCAAAGATCTCTGCCAGATCTTCCCATTTGCGATCGTAATGCGTGCCATCATCACCGCGCAGCACTTATATATCCTACTTCATTTAAGACTGTAGTTCAAGGTAGCCTTCATTCATGCGCTTTTCGTGAAGCGAAACAAACTAATCGAAATGGAATGGGGAGGGAAGTTAGGCGACACGGTCTGTCGCCTAACTAAATATTAATACATGCAGATGTCGTTTTCTTGGTTATGAATCAAGCTAGGTGGTAGAAAATAACAGTAAAAGTTATACTTTAAAGTATCAGAATATAGCATTCTGTGATGATGACAGAATTATTACATTGTGTTATTCAATTTGCGATAGTGCAAACGAGTAGAGACAATAGACGGCGGCTCTTTTTTTAATTTACCTTTGCATTTCACTCAATAACAATGTTTACGTTAGTGTTTTTGTTTGTGTTAAAGTTTGTAAGTGTTTGTGTGCTAATGTTCTGCCATTAACATCTATGTTAAATTACTTAATTTCATTTAGATTTGAAATCCCACAAATTCCTCATACACCGCAAATATAAAACACGGAACGCATAATTTGTCTGCAAATTTACTCGTATTTTTCTAAATCCCCAAAATTTCTTCCGATATATTTATTTAAAAATTCTACGTATAAATGAAGCAGTTCATTTCTTATCCACAGATTTTTAGTGGTATAACAAATATGTTTTAACATCTTTAAAGCATACGAAATTCCATACCGTCGAAAATTGTTAACCCTGGGTTTGTATGGATATTATCGACGAATGGTGCATCACTAGATTCCAGCTTGACAACGTTATCGGTGTACTGAAACAGGGGACCTGCAGGATCCATACCTAATGCAAAAGAAAAGCATGTATCGTTTACGAACAAATGGTTAATTTTTATAATACAGTGACGGATAAAAAAAATCCCATCACCAAGAAAGAGTTCGGCTAGGAAAAATTTGGTAGGCGTGTTTATACATCTGAAAGATGACGTCTTTTCAAATTTCAAGCTATGCGTATAAATGTGACGCAAGTAGTAGCGCCTCTATGAACACGCAAATCAGGCTTGCTTTACATATGCGCTGTTAAGTTCGTAAGCATTATTTATCGTTGACATTTCATGAAATGAGTTGATGTCAATCCAGAATGCATTTAAGAAGATAAAGAAGTCATATCAACATCTCATTGAGTTTGTGAGTTTGGAATGAAGTCGGTAATAGGGCTACGAGAAGTTATATTTTCTTTCTGCGATACTGGAGAAAGACTTGACAGAAATGTATCCACTGTGCATGATTGTTAGCAGCAATGGTCAAGGAAATGTATTAGCTCACGAATACCGAATTCCGACTACTGAAGTAGAAAGACCGCTATGTTTGGCGTATGGCTGTGGAGCATCGTAATGAGTCTACAGTACAGACTCGCCACAGTGACACAATGAACTGTTACAAATCGGTTACTTGAAGGGCAGCTCCGATCCAAACGCCCTGTAGCGTGCATTTCCCTCCCTCCAAACCATAGCCATTTGCGACATCAATGATGTCAAGCTAGAGCTCATTGGACGATGGAATGGAGATCTGTTGTGTTTTCTGATGAAAGCACGTTCTTCTTTGGCACTAGTGATGGTCGTGCGTTAGTCCGAAGGAGGCCAGGTGAGTCGGCCTGCAAGCAGCCTATGTACACTGGACCTAGACCTGGAGTTATGATCTGGAAAACAATTTTGTATAACAGCAGAGGCACTCTCGTGGTTATCCCACGCACCCTGATTGCAAATTTGTACATCAGTCTGGTGATTCACTCTGTTCTGATGCCATTCATGAAGAGCATTCAAGGGTGGTGTTTTCCAACAGAATAACGCTCACTCTGATACCGCTGCTGTTGCCCAACGTGCTCTATAGAGTGTGGACATGTTGCCTTGGCCTCCTAGATCACGTTCTCTAATCTAGCATGTGTGGGATTTCATTAGACGACAATACCAGAGTCATCCACAAGCAGCATTAACCGTCGCTGTATTGACCGACCAAATGCAACAAGCATGGAACTCCATCCCACAAACTGACATCCTGCACCTGTATGGCATAATGCATGCACGTTTGCATGCTTGCATTCAAAATTCTGACGGTTACACCGATTATTAATGTACCAGCATTTCACATTTGAAATAGCTCTTCTCGTGTTTGCGCCTGTGATCTTGAAAATTTTACCGATTAAATATGTTACCTAGATAAATGCGTTGCCGAAATTTCTTTACTCTACAATAATTATTTTCTTGTTGTTGGGATTTTTTTTCCGTCAGTGTATATATGAAATAATACTGTACAAAAATGTAATAGTAACAAAATAAAAGTACATAACTTACGCTTATGCAAACTTCCATAGTTAAAAAAAATTAATAATAAATGGTGATGTCATAGAGATTTGATATCATCTAATCTTGAGATCAGAAATGAAAATAAGGAATAAAAGAAATAAAAAAAAATCTGCAATAGATTCCAGATCTTCAGAGCCAACGCTGTATCTATGAAAATTCATAAGCCAATTCCGATTTGTTCACTTTCCGGAGAACTATGTGATTACTGATACAGAGGTTGGCAAATTATAGTAAATTATAGGAATCTACATGCTTTATAAATATTCTGCAAAAACTAACATGTGTCATCATAAGAAAATGACCTGTAAAGATGAAAATCCGTGAGGACAAAATCTAGTGCATATGACGGTGACACAAGACATCTCAGCTATATTCCATATTTGAAAAGGTTTTGTCTGGCATTTACCGAAATGTGAGATCGAATGTTGTCATTGGAAGACAACACTTCGAATATTGGTCTGCTCTCTGCACTTTGCTTCGATTTCCACTTTCAAACCTGATATTTCGTAAGAGATTTGCGTTATTTAGTGGCAAAATTCACTACATACAATTCCTTTGCAGTCCCGTCTCATATAAAGCATTATGCTTTTGGAATGCAACCCTCTCTCGATGTTACTAATGAGGTTTTTTTGGCTTACCTCAAGATCACTTTGGTGTAATCACAGCACATTTTTTATGAACAGTATAGCTACCATTTTTTAAAAAACTAAAAGAGCATAAAATGACGAAAATAAACTTTCAGGGGCTCCATTATTAGCACTGTACTGAAACAAAAATTATTCCACAGAATATACTAGAATTGTGCAACGTGAAAAGACATCTACTAGAGATCAGAAGACTAATTAAGGTCACTCTACTAGTAGTAACAAAATACTTATACATTCTTCAATTTAAAAAACAGCAGAGATTTTGGAATGACATAATAAAAGATAAGTCGCAAACACAAATCGAAATACCATCGCCTCCAGAAATTGGATTCGCATTGAAAGTACTATTTTATAGCAGCTATAAACTTCTTACCATTAGTGAAGACAAGCTAAGGTCATCCGGCGTGTTCATTTATGTCTAGGATACTACAGTCACTTCTAACATTAAATAAAATCAAAAGAGTATTTCATTGTTAGCTTCAGGCTCTCATATTTACATATCAATCCGTCTCTGAGAAAATTAGGTTGTTTGAATATGTCTTTTTCTCATAACTCTACTCTCGATTAAGCCACACTTTTCTGTGTCATGAGGTAAGAGTCGTGGAATTCATATCTCTCGTAAGTCGATCTTTAAAGCCCAACCGATATAGTGGTTAGCGTCGCTGACTGCGGTGCCAAAGGGCCCAGGTTTCGAATCCCGAAGAAGGCATGGATGTTCGTAAATGTATAGTGGCGGTGGGGCACGGCGGCGCTCTAAATATGCGTTGAGCCACAGGTCTTCTCGTATGATTTGGTGGAAGGAGAGAGGGGCGGAAGACCCTCGAACCCGTCCCCCGGTCTGTTGCAAACCACAGGCGTATCTTGAGCGCTCCTTGCCACGAGGAATTTCGTGAGCCTGCACTGATGTCAGGCAAGTGAGCATAAGTAACAAGAAGAAGAAGAAGTCAATCTGTGCAGTAGCTATTATAAAAAGAGATAACGAAAATATTATAAAAAGAGATAAGAGAAAATCATAATCACGTAAATGTTCTGGTATCTGTTTGGTTTCATCGTATGTTCTGGTCTTAGGTTTGCAAATGGCTTTGATGTAGTTGGTAAATGGTCGATGGCATTCCATAACAGCCCTTTTGGCAAATGATGAAAGATTTATTAAATCTTAGTATTAAAAATAAATTACTTGGAATTTTTTACATATTTAATCACTCAAATCATTACGAAAGAAACCATTTTGCTCCACAACACCATAATAAACATTGATGCAAATCAAACTGACATTTATATGTTAGACATGTGCTATATTTATCCATTAACTATGTTGCAAAACATTGTGAAGGTCGCATCAGCTTTAGGCGAATGGTAGCGAATTTTCTTACACTTCCATAAGTTATGGCAATTGCGTACTTGTTAATAACATTTACGAGCTCATTTTAATTAACATAAGCTGTATTTTTATTTACTAAATGGTCTTAATGGTACTTTTATTTCTAAAAAATTAAAAGGAATTTAAGATACAGCCTTTATCGCCTAGACTTAATTATGGCAAAGTAAACGTTGTACTACGAAACGCTATACTAGTAAAGAAGTTATACTTTCATAGACGTGTTCTGTGAACAAACGGCTCGTATTCATTTTATGCATGGGAAAACCGATTTCATTTCTAACATATTAAATAACCTCAAGAGTAAATTTCTTCTTATTTAATGACATCTCATCTGATTCCAATTTTAAATTTAAATCTAGTAAATCTAAATTAAATCTGAATCTAAATTAAATTTGAATTTAAATCTGAATTATTTATCTAATTCCAATTTTAAATCATTTATAGAATAAAGTGATAATTATTTATTTATATCTCTACACATCCAGATTAAAAATACACTATTCATTAATTAAGAATGTATTAAAATTCATTGGCATAGTATAAGAGATCTATATCATTATTTTATGTTGAAAAACTGATTCAAATATTATGAGAAAAATATCTTACCTGTAATTCGTCCAATATTTGGTATCCTTTTCCCTATATAACCAGCTGTATGAGCACCGAAGCTATGCCCCAATAAGTAAAACTTTTCCGGGGGATATCCATATGCTTTCTATACAAATATAAGAAAAATTTATTATAATTTATAAACACGACATCTAGAACAAAGGGGTTCGTGGTTTCACAGATGATAAAACGACTTTAAAATTAAGTTTGCCTCGAAAGATAAAATAGTTGTGGAAAGGGAAAGTTCCGTTTGCACCTTCAGCAGGATAAATCAGGGTGGTATGAACTCTCGATATGCGAAAATAGAGATAGATCATGTATAACAGTTGCAGTTAATGTAATTGCGTCACCAGAGTTTCCAATATAAAGATTGAAATTTCACAATGCCTCAAATTTCTGCGTGATAAAAATCAGCATAAAGTGCTTCAATGATGCAGAACAAAAAAGAAGGGTTTTTAGAACTTAAAACAATATAAAGCAAGCATAGCAATACCCACAACAGAATTAGACTTAGGAATTAGCTAATAAAATCGTAGCTGGAGTATAAGAACATCTGTTTAGCAAACTGAATTCGCAGTTTTTATGCATTTCACGAAAAAGAAACAGAATACTTTAATAAATTGAACTCGTGAATCTGAGTTAAACGAATGATTACAACACTAGTGATGCATTACATCAATTTCGTCAAATTCATGAACTAAGCAATAACTGTTTTTATTGCTTCGACATCAATCTGTATGCCTTATCGTAGACGCCATCGTATGAAGCTAAAAGGCGAACTATGGCTCGTGCACCCATTTTTTGATGACAAGCAACAAGCATTTCCAGAGTCGACGGAGACAAAAATTTACATGATACAAAATATTTATGTCTTTCAACGTCATCCTTATGCTGCGCTTATCTCTGGTGCGTTCGAGTGCATTTTCGGCAGACGGATGATTATGTATGTGACACAGCTCCAGAGTTGAACTAGGGTTTTTCCTAATTTAGCACGAAAGGTAGCCATCATTGGAATAGCGACATAGTTTATTTCTTCCTGGCCTCGTAGTTTTAGAAAATCATTTACACATGGTTTACAGATAATGTAGTATCACATTCTCAAGATATGCATTAATATTGCTCACGTAACTGATTCTAGAGTTGGAGACATGCAATACTCTTTAGAATGCCATTTGAATGGAGGATGATATGCTAATACATATAGCCGTGAATGAAAAGTGTTGATATGCACCCAAAGATAATTTCATTAATCAATGTGTACTTTTCTGTTACACGGAGGCAACGAAAAAACATAAAACATTTTCTATTACTGTAAAAGTATAAAATTTTAAGTAAAATTCGAACAGGCGCAACGAATTTAGAGATTCTGGCAACATTTTGGAAAAAATTTCAGTTTTTTATGTAATCATCGTCACATAAACTTTAACAAGTATGATTCAAGATGGTGGCGTTGAAGTGCCACGTTGACGTTTATTACGCCATTTTGCTCTCCTCCACATTTTTTCAACTGTTTGAATATGGTATCCAGTGTTTGGTTTTACAAATGTATCTACGATGGTATCTAATGGGGTTGCCTGTGAGATGATTCTATCCTGCTCCTTTCAAAACTTCTGTTTTGTAAAAACAATAATACAATCTTCTGTTTTATTGACTTTTTTTTTTTTTTTTTTTTTTTTTTTTTTTTGTCGTGCCAAGTAAAATTTTAGCCTAGCGATCCGACACAACTACAAGAAAACATTCTTTTGTTTCTCTACATATGCCTCCAAAAATCCACTGTGGAGGAAGAACACGTCCAAAGTTACTTTAAAAAAATTCTTTTAAAAAAAGAATTTCGTCAACCTCTACTACTTTGTTATTTCCACCAAAAATTTTAAGTCTACATAACAAGGCGTGAGCGCAAAACTCCTGCGTATAATTGTTCCACTTGACGACTATATTGTGGTTCATTTTTAATTGCATATTCGGAACTCAATTGAGATCAGCTCTTGGTACCAACAGTGGATAAATTTTACAGCTGCAAAACAATTTAGACGCGATCGTTCAAACCAAGGGGAATATCTGGCACCTATTTGTTCTCAGGAAGATCTAAGGTTGCAACACTATTTTGATGTATTGTACTTGGTAAAACACAACATTCTCTTTTACAAAATCTTCGCCTATGAAGAATTCTTTTATCCTTTAGTAATTTCATTGCCTTCTTCTCATCTTTAGTTAAATCTGGGATTTGTGAAATCCATTTCTTTCCTTTTTTATATAAAAAGTGTTTTTTAGTCAAATAATGCATAGCAAGTTATGTTTCGTGCAGTTCTAAAAAAAGGCTTCTAATCATAGCACGTGAATATTTGGCTCAGTTTCACTCATAAAACCGTGATGACTTAGCTTATCACATTATTGCTATCTTCCGCACGTTACTAAACATTTTAACAGTGTTATTACGTGGCGCCCGTATAATGGAAAAGCACCCGTTTATCAAAACATCTCACGTCATGTCCCATTCGCTTAACCTAACTTATAAGCTTCTCTGAACTAATACAGACAGACCTGTGGCTTTATTTCATCTTATAGAGTCATCAGGTTTATTTTTAATTAGGAAAAATGAAAATTCAGTAAGGTCTTTGCCGAGATTCAAGTTTAGACCTCCCGACTGCTGTCTGCTCGCATTTCCCATTACAGCGCTAAGGTAATGCAGTACAGAGTAAATTCCTTGCAGATTAAATCGAGCGTCTCCAACGTCTTAACTCCATTTATTTGAATTGTATAGAATTTTGCAGGTCAGTTTTGATATGAGAGCAAAATAGCATTATGTTATAAGCATAATGTGTCACTTTCTATCGTAATTGCGTAAACATGATGCACTAAAGATCTATAACTATATTATTTCAAGCTAATAAAAAAAGCATACTGTTCATATGCTTACTCGTTTAAAAACACTTGTTTTATATTTTAATTAAATTTAAATAATTCTAACACCAGCTAAGAGGAAAATAATTTAAATTCCTTTAATATCGAAAGCAATTAGAATATTTTCATAGATAATACTGTAGAGACATTAGGTATTTTTGGTAGCAGAAGAGATGAAAAATGAGCAAATGCCTTCGTCGGGAATCGAACCACGGACCTCTGGAATACACTCCCAGAGTGCAGATTATCACACCACGAAGGCATGCCAAGAAGGCCGGAGAAATACCTTATATTAAAATTAGTTTTGATAATTCGGTAATACATACTAGCGTGTATTTGAAACATATTATTAGCACAATGAACTCTCAGTCCGACAGAAAGATGATTCAGCGGAAATAAGACATCTCTTTTCACGCGAGAATATAAGAAAAGCTTGCAGCTGACATGTTTATTACATAACGATAGGGAAGGAGAAGGTGAAATGAGTTATTAAAGATGTTCGTTGTAAATTCAAATGAGTTGCCTAACACAATTATAAATCTTCTACGCTGTTCAGAAAATACAGTACAAAATTTATATTACCTTTTTATAGTTCGCCAGAACACCCGAAGCAACTAAAATTTGAGAAGCTTTGCTTTATAAGCACGCACAGGCAATTCGGATTCATTTATTTGTGACTTGTTTGCGATTTATTTGTGGTCTTTTGTTTAAAGTAGATTAATATTATCCGGGAAAGTTTTCTTAATGTATTTCTAAATTAACTCTCATAGTTTATCATACTTTAAAACTCTCATACGTTACTTAATGTCCAAATGCATCAGGATTATACCGGATTTCTAATAACAAAATAACTGAAATATAAAGGATTTGTAAAAAAAAAAACAATATTAAACTTTTATGTCAAGAGAACTTTTAGATGCTTAAATATTTCTCACAAAAAAGTCAAATTTATAAAGAACTCATACTCACTTCGATAAAACGAATAAGTTGGGTTATCTGTGCAGCAAGTACACGAGTGTTTGTTGCAAACTGGCTGTAGGATGGATAAGGGAAAAGATCAAGTAGAATGATGTTATCATCATACATGTCTAAGAACCTTTCTTTGAGTTCCTATAAAAGATAAATACATACACCAATGAAATATCAAATCACAAAAAAGTATAAAATATTACAGAACTGGTTTATTTTAAGTGGCAATACAATGAAAAAGACAGCAATCTTTTTCCTTTAATTTTGTGTCCTCATAATCCTGATTTTTAAAGACAAGTCAAATACAGTAAATTTTGCTCTTATAGCAATTTCAGAGCATATAGACTTTGTATTTAATTGCACAACCTTTGTTACTCTCTCTCTTGGATACTGTTTTTGTTATTTTTAAATGCAAGGCGACTCAAAACTTGGCCGTATATCTAAAAACAGTATTATTTCTACGGATAATAACATCATGTGAACAATGTTATTAATATTTTCAAATGCCAAGCAATAACATGTCATTTGTTCTTGGACAATATCAAAGTCGTACGCATATTATCAATCATCTGAAAATTTATTTTGGTTCCACGTATACAACAGAAGGCTACTGTCTTTTCAATATACAAAGCGATTCTAAATTGTTTTTACAAATTAAGAGAGGTGACAGCACAAATCCAGATGAGCAATAATTACCATAGAACATAGGGTCGCATTCCACTCTGAGAAGCAGAAAAAAAGAATATTAGAATTCCAACCTTAACTTACAACGAAGTTGGGAAAGCGAATGAAAAAGACCAAAAATTCCGCAATCAGATTTATTATTTAGTGAAAAACTCACGGAAAGTGCTCAAAATGCAGACAAATCGCTCTTCCATTTTTGCCGTTCGTACATTTCGCGAACGTCCTGCGTTGCTTTTTGAGATGGCAAAAGAACTGGTTTTTCGCGTTCTTCGATCAACACTGAAAACGATTGGATGACTTGGAATCCGACAAATGGAAACCACTGTTCGTATAATCTTAGTGGTTTGCGTCCATTTCCTTTCGCTTCATCGTATTGTGAGGTGAATATCTGCCAATTCCTCGTACGTCTACTCCGCCATAGCATTCACGAAAATTTTCGGATGATGTTACTAAAGTAATACTTGAAGCGATGATGCTGTGCCGTTTTTCAAGAACATTGGTTTGATCTGATTGGCAGTCTCTGCTAACCAATTAAGAGCAAAATGCTGGTTCTTCACAGTGCAAATTTGCATACGGTTAATTCTTGATGGTCCTTGTTCTTCCTCGATGCGCTTCTACTTTCCTCATTTCTGCCTCTCGGAGTGGAACGCGACCCTATGCTCTATGGTAATTATTGCTCATCTGGATGGGTACTATTCTCTTAGTTTGTAAAAACAATTTAGTATCATCCTGTATAAAAGAAAATAAATGGAAATTTCAGTAGAGAGTAAACAAATCGATAGAAAATGCTGTAGTTCTACCTAACTGAATTAGTTAATTTGTTAGTGTAAATCCCCGATTATTTTTTCTAGATTTTTAATTTAAAAGTTTCAATAATTTTCTTTTTTTTTTTTTCCTACATTTTACTAATTAATTTACCTATCCACATGGCTGATATAATTTAAAAAAATCTTCCCAAATTTTAACAAAATTTAAAATAATTTATTATTAAATGAAGCAAAATTTAGAGCTTCATTTTGTAGGAAAACTCACCTGCGTCCAGCCGGTAAGCGAAATCGAGTCCAGCCACCCGTGGATAATAATCTTTGTGCATGCACTTGAATTAAAAGGAGAATTCAAAATATTTTCCATATTAAATGCCGAGAACCCGTAAGCTTCTTCTCTGTTTCTTCTAGTATAGAGTAAGAAATAAGTCGCTAGCAGCGCTGGAGGCAAGGGAAGCAAACTGATCGGGCGCCATATAGGATTAAAAAACGGCGGTCCATTGGAGAAACATCCTAGCTCACCGTAGCAAACAGTTTTGAAGGGAAGTACTAAATAAGATTAAAAAATAATTTTGTTAGTTGATGCATTAAAGCAGCAAATAATAGCATTACATATACTTCTTCGTGGAATTTACTGGTTATCTTACTATTTTCCCCATCTGTTAAAATGCAAGCTCATCAGTGTTCATAAAAGTATTTTGAAAGATATTTTATGATTAAGGAGATAAAATATCTGAATGTTAGAAATTCAAGATTTACCCGAGAAGCCGGTCTCCTAAGTGTCTGAAAATTTTGCTTGGGTGTAAATTTGAGTATTGAAGGAAAAAAAAATTCTTCTTAAAGAGCTTCTAGAAAAAAAAATGTAGCTAGCGTTCAAATACCTTTCTTTCCCTTAAGAAATAATCTACTTCCTTGTAATAAATTCAGATATGGAGGGAAATGGAATGTTTTAAAAATAGTAAAGAAAAAAACACTCAAGAACTTACCTAAGAGCAGAGATGTCATAGTGGAGAAATTTCTTGGGAAACAATCTTGTATTTAAGCTACACATTGGAAAAATCGCTTAAACACCTATGTACTTAGCCGATTCACTAGGAGTTATATCCAGTGAATTGGCTGAGTGCTGAATTTAGATCCAGGTTGATCCTCTGTTTAATTTTATGCATTCTGTCACTGGTGGGTAGAACGACTAAGGAATACGAATCAATTTCGTCTTCAAAACACGTGGCATATTCACCACAACTTTACTGTCCAGAAAATAACACGAGGTGACAGACTTGGTTATGATCTAGACTTTAAAGTTGGACTAATTAATCTTTTATAGTACATTTTTGCCTGGACAATTAAACATCCTGCAAATCTTCCCTGATCCATGTCATCCACACTTAAAGTGATATTTTTTTCCAAGAATATCATAAAAAAAACGCTGAAAGATATCATCGCGTTTCGCCGTTTTTAATAACAGGGGAAATCTTAATATTTTGTACCCTAGTTAACAGAAAGAATTAATAATGATGATCTTCCGTAAAAGCAAACTGGCGTAAAGCGAGCAATCGCAAAGCGTAAAACTGCGCATGAATATTTTTAAAATTTAAATCGCATCATTTAAAGCATGCATGATGTATCACAAAATACAAAATCCGGTGATTTTTTTCGATAATTTTTAGTCAAACAGTTTCAATCATGAAACACAAGTTTTCAGTATTTGGCCCAAATACTAAAACGGCTGAATAAATATACAGTCTTCTTTAAAATTATAAGAACTCAAATTATTATTATATTTTTAGTATTATGTTAAATTATCATATGAACTGAATATGTATATTTGAAATGAATCTATAAAAACTAAATAAAAACCCACAATTCGCTTTTAGTTTACCCCATTATTATTTTTAATTCTTAATTTTTTTTACACTAGTCCATAAATTTTCAATTTAAAAAAAAAAACATTGTAGTATTTTAATGCAGGTTCGAAGGTACAAAAGTAAGCAGGTTTTATGCTGTTTACTCTCAGAACACATATATTTGTCTCTTACAATATTAGATATATTTTTCTCTTACAACAACCTCGGCATTTTCAAAGTGGGCTGCGCTTACCTCATGTGCATTTTAACGCATTCTCGGCGGACGGATGATTTGACATGCGACACGGCAACAGAGTTAAGCTAGGTTTTTCCCCAATATCGATATGGCGAGTTCAAAAGGTTTGCCGTCACTGTATTAGCATATTAAAATATAATTTAAAGAACTTACACCAACTACTTTTAAACATTTCTAGTAATGCTGAAATGCTTCATTTCTGAAAATCAAGCTGCCTTTTTAATCCAAAGATAAAATTGGCCCAGAAGGGCTAGTAATTTAGTTTTGACATTCTGCGTCGTCCGCTATAAAATAGTCTCTCCCTTTTCAAATTGTTGCCACCAAATATTAGAGCCCTGCAATATATTTAAAGAAATTAAATAATGAAGAATCTGCATGAAAGTGAACATGTTTTTTTTTTTTTTTTTTTTTTTTTTTTTTTTTTTTTTTTCACTGTGAAAACGCAATGGTGTCTAGAGACAACAAATTTTGAATAACGTAATCCTCCACTCGAATATAGGCATCTGAAAGCCCAAATTTGGAATTTTTTTTTATTATCCATTTCATATTTTTAATACTTTAACGAATTCTTGATTAACAAACACAAGGATTTCAAAACCCGAGCAATGACAACACTGTACGAAAGAAACAAAAAAAAGCATTTTTATCTCTAGGGCGAGAGACTGTGTATCGGAAGTTCTAAAGATATGCTCTTTTTAAATATTTTGTGATATTTTTGTTGAATTCAGTTTTATGGTTTAAGTGCGAAGATGATATTTAATACATAAAGGTAACCAACAAAACGTTAAAAAAAAACGCCCCTTTAGGTGTAATATAAAATCTGAAAGAGTTCAGATTTTTTTTTTTTTTTTTTTTTTTTTTTTTTTTTTTTTTTCAAAATATATTAAACAGGATACTTTGCAAGATCTAACTCTCTTTGCTTTCATAAATACCACTATATCTCACTAAGGAACTTGCCAACTTCTCGCCCAGGCGTAAAAGAATACCAGCACAGAAGAAGGGTAAAATAGCTTTTTATTATTTGTCAAAATCTTAACACAAATGCACGAACATTGTGCTTACAATAACACCGATGACTTGAGATAGAACATAAGACTAGTTGAACAGTAATGTCAAAGATAAAGAATAGAGGGGGACTAACAATTTAATTCAAGGCTAACTAGGCTGACTCAACAACATATCCGGCGATGCACATTGTGAAAAAAGGGGGACAGTTCTATATCTCCCGTTCTACTGGAACGATTGACAAAATTCAAATTGCGTTTTTCATGCCTCGAAAGCGAGACTTCGGATTTATATTAGATTTATATATGGCATTGTTCTAACATAGGTATTTTGACACAAAATCGGAATTTTTCTGAAATGACGTAACAGTTTTTTCCATACTTCGATTTTACGACTCAAATTATGACTAGATATTAAATTTTGTAAAATTCGGTGCAAAATTTAAGGAGAAATTCAAAATTTTATTTTGGCACAATTTTTGTCACTTTCCGCCAAGAATAATTCACTTGGCGACTTCTAAATATATATTAATTTTCCTTTCCACCAGCGGCCGAGCGGTAAAGTCGCTGAACACTGATAGTTCGGTCCGAGGTTCGAATCCTGCGAGCAGGCTGGCTCCATGAGCGTTTTCGTGGTTTTCCCCCTGTATGACGTGTATACGAGCCAGTTTCCCTCAGAAAGTCCTCCACGAAGGCATCCCTACCTTTGGGCAGATAGCCCTCGAGGCTTTACCAGAATCACATACACACACCATTATGCCAGAGCGGAAAAAAAAGGCACCTCTTTCCTTCCTTTTTACATTGTGCATGGTGGGGGAATCACATCATTCCTACTTTCAAATCATTTTAACAGTCTAAACCACATATGATGTTTTATTGCAATCAATAAATATGCTAAATTTCAAAACGCGCCATTATATAAATTCACGTATATCTTCGGAAATTTTGAATAAAAACTGTTTTTTACAGGATGCCTTTAGAATCTCTTTAAGGATAATGGTTAAAATTGTAAGATTATAATTCAAATTATTTTAGAAAAGTATAAAATTATTTTAAAATAAATTTTAAGATAATCAGAAAAATTAACTTTTTTTTTTTTTCACCTGCATTTCCAAATTGCAAGAAAGAATCAAATAAGCTTAATAAAAAGAGAGTGAATAATATATGCCAACTCAATTTACATTGAGGCTAAAATTTAAAGCTAATTTTTTATAAACTACTTGTGCGAGTTTACAAAACTGGTATTTACGAATTTGCTGGTACATTCAAAATATGGGAAAAGTGGCATGTCATTTCAGAAAAAGTCCGATTTTGTGTCAAAATACTATTTAGAACATTATATATTAAACTAAGCTATTCTAAGTCGCACTTTCGAAACTTAAAAAGCGGGTTGATTCGTCAATCGGCCCAGTAGAATGTAGATATAGAACTCCCCCCCTTTTTTTAGTAAAGGGCTTGGCTTGTCCTAAGGACTATGTTTGTTTACGCTTTGCGTTGAGCACTAAAAGGTCTCTTTTCCAACTTTGCCACCATGTTAGAGTCCTGCATTATGTTTGAAGAAATAAATAATAAAACTAAACCGAAGTATGAATTTTCGCATTGTGATAAAACACGGTACTTAGAGCCACGACTTTTGGAGTGACGTAATCCTACTTGAATATGGGGATCTGAATCCAAATTTGAAATGGAATTCGTTTACATCGATTTCATGTTTGAAAAATTTAAAAAACGAATTTGAGTAACAAACTCAACGTTCAAAAGCGAGCATGCAAACTCTACGGGCGAGGGCCACCAGCGCCAGCGGTAAGTCGTGAAATGGTGTTCGGCCGAGTTTCGATCCCGCGAACGGCGTGGCTGATGGGCGTTTTCGTGGTGGTGCCCATGGTACATGTATACGAGCAGTTTCCCTAGAAAGCCTCCAGAACATCCCCCCTAGGCAGATACCACGAGCTTGCCATAATCACAAAATACGGGAGCGAAAAAACTTTTTATCTCCAGCACGGCGACTGTTATCGAATTCTAAAGATAGGCATTTTAAATTATTTTGCGACTGGATTGAACTGAATTTTATGGTTTAAGTGCAAAGAACATGAAATTTAATAAATAAAGGTAATACAAAAACGTTAAAAAAACGAACCTTTGAACGTAATTTAAAATCTGAAACATATCATGTTATTTCCCCCCCCCCGCAGTGTGCTTATTAAATTGCCAAAAGGAATATCAGAAACTGAGCGTAACAGCAAGGACAAACTAGAAAAGCGTGCTGGCTAACAAAATCACGCGCTAAATAAACTGCAAGATTCGCCTGACTTTATGCTGATTTCACTTAACTTTAAATTTGCATGCGAGGGGAAAATGGAAGGTTCAGGAAAGGCACTCAAAATTATATAGTTATGCAAAATAAGGGAAACTCTCTAATTTAACCTTCTTTATCCCCTAGAGATAAGATTATAACTAAAGTATTAATCGTAATATATATTTAAGCATATTGGTAACAAAATTTTTAGTATGGTAACAAAATACATATTGGTAACAAAATATTAGTATACATTTACTGGCATCAATTAACTACTTACGTAAACTTCTTTTCTTTCTGCTATGATGAGTAACATTATTTCCTAAAGCACAAGCAAAAAACAAGAAGAAAACCCTTAAGAAACGAGATGTATTTCTTAAGTCCATGCTCTTGCGAAGTATTTAGTAAGGGCTTTCTCTTTCTAACAGAAACATGGATAATATGATCTCTTTTTTGAAACAAACTGAAAAAAATGCAAGCGTTTCCTTATAGTCAATTTAGACGCATTATGCATTTTCAAATCGCCGTAGGCTAGAATTGGAAAAGCGGAAATAATACAGTTCTCACGTTTACGTATTTGATTCATACACTACCATGCTACTACTTTGGAGGAACGATTATTTAAGCATGCTTCTCAAATTTTCTTTACTGGCACATTGTTATCCTTTAAATTCAAAATAAATGCTGTTTGCTACTACCTTTTTACTTTTAGCCTTGTTCTCTATTTAAAAAATTCGAAGTATATCAAGGTAAGCTAATTTAATATTTAGTAACGTTTTAGCTCTGTAAATTGGTTTCTCAGCCTATAATTACGAAAATATGCTCGTGCAGTATGTGTTAAGCAATAATTCACTTTTATAGGTAAAATAAAACATTTGCTGATAACTAATGCTTTCCTGACAGTAAAAATTCGATTAAGGGAAAAATTTGCTAAAAATTATTGCAAACATTGCTTTAATTAATATTTTCATTTTTTACATTTTAATAAGAAAATCTGATAATCCGACTTCATTTAACTGGAAATATTCGATTAGTAGAATTTTTTTCGAATGGTATTGAAATTATTTTCTCACATTTCTTTCTAGGCTGAAGTCAGATATTATCTTCAGTTGTTGAAGAGTCACACTTTTCAAATACGAAATAATTTGCATTCTATAATTTTCTGAGTCATTTTCTCATTCCTCTAGGAACTGCATTCTTTGCATTTGAAAATCTAAAACTGCACTTTAAATAAAATGGTAACTTACCTTAAATCTGTAGTCTAAATCGTTATTTTTAGCTTAGTGAAATGCATACTTTCTCAAAAATACAAGCAAGATATAAAAAAAGCTATTAAAAAGGAGACTTGGATCCTGACAAAAGGAATGCCTTGGACATTTTTGTCATTTGCTCACTACGATATATGAATGCCATCCGGCATCCCATAAAAAGACCTTCCCAGAGTCATTCTTCCCTGATAACCCTTCCAAAGGTTCAATTAAACAAACAAACAAACATTTTATACATTAATCCTCCAGGCACACAACTGATATGTAACGTAAAAATACATATGAAGAAAACCTTGAAAATATGCCTTTCTAAAAAATGGGAATGGCTGAATGGATAATGCCACTGATCACTGGTAATTCGCCCTGAATTTAAATTTCCGGTGAATGTGGGCTTTTTTATGGCTTCTTCATGTGTAACATTAGAACTAGCCTATTTCTTTAAAAAGCCTAGTTCTTGAGGAAAGCATTCCTTTTTTTAGACAGAACCCTTGTATGGTATTCCATGATTAGTTGAACAAAATAAAAAATATTTTATAATCTAATTGAGTCCTTTTATGCTGTTTATCACCTGAAAACAAGGCATGAATTTAAGTTGTTAAGAAGAATTCAATTTTCTTGGAGAAAATTGTTTTCGTTATAAAATTTATACATCGTATACGTGCTCGCTGTTAGAATTAACAGAACTTCGCTGTTAGAATCTGAATCCTAAAAAACAGAGATTATTTAATATCCGATAAACATGATAATGCATCATGATAATTGCGATCAGTCTGAGTTAAAAAACTGAAAATGAAGTAAAGAACACTTTGCTTAAATATATAACTAAGACCTCGTCGTAGATTCCAGACATAAAAAAATTTAATAAAGTCTAAAGCGTGTGTTTAATAGCAGCACCCAAGTATTAAAAGTAAATTTTATTAAGCGAGATGATTGACAAGTAAAATTTCCAATCATACATATTAAGCATACGACAACATAAAATAATAAAAGAATGTCAAAATTAGGAAACATTTATTTCTCCTAAAAATTTATTTTTCATCAGTCATTGTTTACTGCTACCCACTAATCCAAACGTGTGAAGTCCCACTAATGGACGAGCTGTTAAGATCACTGAATACTTGTAGTTCGACCTGGTTCGGGTTCAATCTCGAACGAGGCGAACGAGCTAGCTGCGTGGTTAGTTTTCAAGACTTCCTCATTTGTAACGTGAATATATAGCCAGATTCCCTCAAAACGTCCTCCACGAAGGCATACCTCATCTTAGGCAAGCCTTCATGGCTTTTTCATATTCAGGTAACCTAACCAAACATACGGTTCATTTTCTCCTCCCGTTTAAATCGAAAAAGATTTGTGGTTGGTTTGGGGTCTGCTTGCCCTAAGTAACTTATAATTCCTGTCGAATCAAAATTGTTGGATATATATCTCTATATATCTTTCAGTTTTAGATGCAAATCAAAAATCGAAGGCTGACAAATCTGGACCGTAAATAGTTCGTGGAACAATTGAAAACTCCAGGTTTGTCGTTATTTATATAGTCTGTTGATAACTACTTTGCATTATGATGATGGAAGAGTATTCGTTGGGCTTGATTCTGTGGCTACATTGCTTGAGTACCTTTACGATTTCACAATATTGTTTTGAATTAATCGTCATTCTGTTCAAAAGTAGAACTCTATTTTATCTTTTTAAGTAATTCATAGGTAGAACGAATAGCTCAAAAATTCTGTTACGTTATGAGGTTAAGTAATAAAATTAAACAAAATCTATTTATATTTGACAGCTACAGTCGCCAAAAGCAACAGCAAATTTTTTATACATCAACTACTAGTGACGTCATGGGGCAGAAGGCCTTACCTTTCAATCAATCATACGTTAGGAAGAATACAAGAGCAGGAAAACTTATCGATAAATAAGTTACGTTGGCAGCTGAATTTGCACAGCTTATGGATACTGAGGTTATCAGTATACTGGAGGATCACATAAATATTTCAAGCTTCGTCATGACATCGCCTATGAAACCTATAGAAAAAATACTAATGCAGTGGAAGATTTATTTATATTGCTTTTCTGCTATATTACATAACGTTTACCGATTTAATTTCTAACTTACCAAAAGATGTTGTTTACAACACTTCCTTTAAATCAAAAGACATGTCCTGCCAAATAAGATTCTGAATTTTAGAGATGAAACTGGGCAAGAAAGAGAGATTACATAGAAAATATAATTTTAAAAAAAGCTCACAATACATTTTGAGTGAAACTTTTAATTACTAATTTGTGATAAAGCAAGAAACGCTACTGCCTGTTAAAGATTCAAGATCATTTTCATAGTATATCAAAAATTCTCCAGAAGGACAAGTGAAGTCTATCTAAGTTCAGTAAAAAGTGATTAAATAATTGTCGAACCAAAACAAGGACATTTTAATATTATTAGGTACTGTATTTAGGCCCAGTAAGCTACCTGAACTGATTTGTAATCCGTGTCGAACGTTCTACTACATAATATCACCATTAAACTATAGGCCACGAATAAAGGCATAATTCAAATTTTGAAATAGTATTAAAGTGTCAATTTTTTAAACATCTTTGTTTCTGAAGATTAGAAGTTAACATACATTGTATTAAAAACTCCTCAACTGCCTAATATTTTTATGCTGTACTAAATATATAAATACAATAACCAAAGGTATTCTCCATCACAGTTTTATTCACTTTTAATGAGCTCTCGGGTACAGAAGAATAAAGAACCTATAAAAATCACAAGACTTTGTGGAAAAGCCAAGGCAGAAGTGATCACAACTGAAGAATGTACAACAAAGGACTAGTTAACTGTTTCATTTTAATAAAGACGACGCGTGAAGGCTGTCTACTGACAGAAAGTTTTCATAGATTTTTGCGGAGGAACTTTCTAAGAAAAATTGATTTGTATTCATACTATACATATTCCGAAAGAGCTCAAGTAGGTAGTCCGTTTATATTCAAATTCGGAGGAAAGTACCAGTGTTCAAAGGTCTTAGCTTTTCGACATCTGATAGTCTATGTAATAAAGAAAAAATGTCGATGTTTAATAATTGATCTGTGCTTCTGAAGTATGATTATTTCTAACAGAAATGTTAATTACTCAAGGAATTGAGATTTTTGCATACTTATTCTTCTGCAGTTTTCGCCGAAAAATGACCTATAACAACTTTCTTTTGCAAATCAAAAAGTAGAATGAAATATTTATAAGCTAAAAGGGCTATATAAAAGATCAAATGTCATTTCGTTTTGTATCGATATATATATTTGTATAGAAATTTGACGTTTTGTGTTCTGAACAACTCAAAAATTCATTCTTTGGAAGAAACACTGGGTTTAAAAGAAATCATAGGATAATTCTAAAAACATTATAAAGTTTGAGTCTTTGAGAGCGAAAGCAGTAATTAGTTTGTAGGGATTTATATTTGTTTTAACTAAAAGTTAAAGTTTAATTTTAAACTTTCCGATAAGCCTTTATTCCCCTAATTGTCAGTGCCAGAATATTTAAATTTAGTAGCTCGCGTGAAGGAATGCAAATTCTATCTTGTGAAGAAAGAGTTTAAAAGCCGATGTTCAGTAGGAAAGTTAGAAATAGTTAGACTATTGCCATCACCTCAGTAGAGTGAGCGTCTACTCCCGGAGTTTTTACCGGTTTACATTGCCCAACAGCATTTACTTTGTTGCCACTAATTTCGATCCGGGCTTAAAAAAAGGATATCTGAGCCCTGTAGTTTAATTTTCTACTACTTGTGAACATCTTCGAATTTTTAGTTTAGTTCTGTGATTTCAGTTAGCGTTCAAGAAAGGCGTAGTGTGTTAGCGTCGAGTTGACACATTCTAAATTTTAAAGAGTTTTAATGAAGGGTACTTTTAACCCTTCTTTTGTGTAGTTCCTACTAGAACTTACTATACGTGCAATTGTCACTTAGAAGATCACTTAGAATTGGACCATACAAGTTTTTGCTCAGTACAAAGCTGAGCTCTAAAGAATGTACAAATCTGAGCCACAAATCAATTCACCTACACATTTTTAGCCACATTCTCATTAAACCCTGTTTAGCCATTGTTATTTCTAAATTAGATTTGTTAAAGAATATTAAGCAATAAATTCTTACATTTCAATGAATAAA